TTCCAGGCAGGAAGGTCCCTGGCGACCTTGGGCAGTGTATGTGTCCTGGGTACTTGAGATTAAGGAGAATGGTTGATGACTTTTACCAGCAGCTGCCTTCAGGCACTTGTTTAACAAAGCACACCCTGCACAGCCCAAAATCCTTTAAACTTGAGTCACCACAGCACATGTCTCGTTGCAAGGACAAGGTTGGGGGTAGGGTCCAGTAACAACATCTGCAATACAGAACAAATGGAGTCTCTTATGTCTACTTCTTTCTATATAGACGACAGTCACAGGTCTGATCTTTCTTTTCCCCACAGTTTTTTCAAGACCACCTCCCCGGCCCCCTGCACCCCAGTGATTCTGATGCATATTCAAGATTGGAGCACCTCTGCGCTGATAAACTATACTCCTTCGCCAGTCACCACGCACTCTCTTAAGGAGCCCTGAATACTTTGTTGCTGGAGTTCAGTAATCTTCCATGCCAGCTGGGGTATGTGGAAGGAGGCCTTTAGTGGTCTCGATCTCCTGACCTCGTGATCCGCCCGTCTCGGCCTCCCAAAGTGCTGGGATTACAGGCTTGAGCCACCGCGCCCGGCCAAGATCTTTATTCATATGTCTTACTGCTGACCTTCTCCCTCTGATGATCCTATTATCCTGCCACCTCCCTTTTTTCTAAGATGGTAAAGATAATTATCAATAAATACTAAGGGAACTCAGAGACCGGTGCCAGTGTGGGTCCTCTGTATGCTGAGCGCCGGTCCCCTTGGCCCACTTTTTCTTTCTCTATACTTTGTCTCTCGTTCCACCTAACGAGAAACGCCCACAGGTGTGGAGGGGCAGGCCACCCCTTCAACAAACCACGGTTTGCTGGGTCCCACTGCTAAGTCCCCGATTCAGTAGGTCCAGGGAACTGCATTTCTAAGCAATTACAATAAATTATCAGGTGATCTTGATGCTGCTGGTCCGAGGACCATTCTTTAAGAGCCTTTGTGGGGAAATAAGAGAACTGGATATAATCCATCTTTTCAGACCTCGAGACAAATCCTATTAGTAAATTTCACTGGAAAATCTTTCTCCCCACTTACTAGCTATGTGTTGTTAGGTAAGGGTGTCTTTAATTTTCTTAATTATGCTTTTATAGCTATAAAATAAGGGTATTGGCCAGGCGCGGTGGCTCACGCCTGTAATCCCAGCACTTTGGGAGGCCAAGCTGGGCGGATCACGAGGTCAGGAGTTCGAGACCAACCTGGCCAACATGGTGGAACCCCCGTCTCTACTAAAAACACAAAAAATTAGCTGGAAGTGGTGGCGGCTGCCTGTAATCCCAACTACTCTGGAGGCTGAGGCAGGAGAATTGCTTGAACCTGGGAGGCGGAGGTTGCAGTGAGCCTAGATCGTGCCACTGCACTCTAGCCTGGGCAACAAGAACAAGACTCCATCTCAAAAAAATAATAATAATACAATAAGGGTATGGCTGGGCGTGGGTGACTCACACCTGTAATCCCAACACTTTGGGAGGCTGAGGCAGGAGGATCACAGGAACCTAGGAGTTCAAGACCAGCCTGGGCAAAACAGTGAGACCCATCCCCCCCTTTTTTCCTTTGATTGAGTCTCCCTCTGTTACCCAGGCTGGAGTGAGATCTCGGCTCACTGCAACCACCACCTCCTGGATTCAAGCGATTTTTCTGCCTCAGCCTTCCAAGTAGTTGGAATTACAGGCACCTGCCACCAATCCCGCCTAATTTTTGTATTTTTAGTAGAGACAGGGGTTTCATCATGGTGGCCAGGCTGGTCTGGAACTCCTGACATCAAGTGAGTGATCTGCCCACCTCCGCCTCCCAAAGTGCTGGGATTACAGGTGTGAGCCACTGTGCCCAGCCAGTGAGACCCCATCTGTACAAAATAATAATAATAATAAGTAAAATAAATAAGGTTAAGGAATCATTACTCTAGGAATCTTCCTGTAAACATCAAATGAGACCATACACCCTAAGAATACAGCTCACAGGTCCCTACTGAATGTGACAGTTTAGTCCAGGTGGGCGTTCCCTGAGGGCAGGAACGGAGTTTCAGCAACTGGTCCCCATGGCGGGTTGGAGTATCCACTAACCTAACATTTACTGAAATTTCAAAATGTGCTGGGTAAGGCTGGGCGCGGTGGCTCACGCCTGCAATCCCAGCACTTTGGGAGGCGGGGGTTGCAGTGAGCCGAGATCGCCCCACTGCGCTCCACCCTGGGCAATAGAGCAAAAACTCCGTCTCCAAAAAGAAACAGAAGTGGGAGGGCTTAATATCGGGCTGGGAGGGTGGGGTGGAATAGGGTGAGCGAGGCGTCAAGTTCGATTCCTAAAAAGAGTAAAAGGGGAGCCTCAGAGAGGTTGGGGAGCAGGCCTCGGCTCCAAGATGAACCAGCACCCTCCCGACCCCCGGGAGCACCCCAGCCCCAGGAGGGCAACCCCACCGGCAGAGCGGCTGAGCTGTGACCAGCGGTCGGAGCCACATGGTCACAGCCGCCACCAGCATCAACATCAGCATCGACTTGGCCCTCCGCCGCCGCCACTGCCCCTCAACCGCCACCTGGAGTCGCTGCACAGTCCGAGTATGTGCAGACTGAAGCCTGCGCATGCGCACCAATGAGTCCCGGGAGCAGGCCTGAGCGCAGGGTAGCCTCGCGTTCCGCCTGAACCCTGAGCATGCGCAGACGAATCCCGGGAGGCCTGAATCCGCGCACAAACGCGCGCTCAGAGCCTGGGCATGCGCACCCGGCCACCCGTGGCCAGTCTAGAGTCTAAGCATGCGCATGTCGTCCACGCGCCTAAGCGTGTGCACAGGCTGCTCATGAGTTCCTAAACGCTGCGTTTGCAACAATACGATGTTTTGTACCGGCGCTGGCGTGTGCCCACAGATATACACGTGACCGGAAAACGCCTTGGGCGCGTAAAGTAGGAGACCGGAAGAGGCGGAGAAGATGCCGTCGCTCGAACTCCGCCTCCTCTTCTCCGTGTAGGCCCCGCCCCCTGAGGCAGCTGTTTTGGGCCTCGCCCCCATCAGGTCCCGAGGCACGCGCCGGGAGTCACGTGCGTTCCACGGCGAGCGGAAATGACGCGAGGTGTGTGCGCCGCCAGTATGGCCGGGCTATGGCGGCGAGCACAGGCTACGTGCGACTGTGGGGAGCGGCGCGGTGCTGGGCGCTGCGGCGGCCGATACTGGCCGCCGCCGGGGGGCGGGTCTCCACTGCAGCCGGAGCGTGGTTGTTCCGAGGCCGGCGGGCCTGTGACGCCTTTCCTCCTTGGGCACTGTGGGGCCGAGGCCCGGTAATTGGGGGCCAGTGGCGAGGGTTTTGGGAAGCGAACAGCCGCGGCGGAGGAGCATTCTCGGGGGGCCAGGACTCCTCCGAGGGCGGTGCAGAGGAAGGAGCCGGGGGCGCGGGGGGCAGCGCGGGCGGCGGGGAAGGCCCGGTCATAACGGCTCTCACGCCCATGACGATCCCCGATGTGTTCCCGCACTTGCCGCTCATCGCCATCACCCGCAACCCGGTGTTCCCGCGCTTTATCAAGATTATCGAGGTAATGGGAGTCCCCGCCTCGGCCTCAGGTTTCCCACCTTTGCAAGCAGCGGGCTGAACCGTGGGATCACTTTAGCGCCCTCGTGTTTCGCAACTTTTTCAGACATGAAGTTTCTCAAAGGGTGCAGTTCGAATCCTTGTGTGCTCACCACTAGCTTGGCAACCTTGAGCCAAAGTCCTCCCCTTTCGAATTTCTTAGGATCTGTTAGATGAGAGGAGTTGAACCCGAAGAGCCTAGAATTATCCACTTAGAACCCCGGTCGTAGAAATCCGGGGCCGGGAGGGACCAGAGTAGTGTTACGGCGCTGTTAGTTTTCTGCTTACTTGGCACAAGTTTTGTAACACCACCTTGCCCCAGGCGCTCTGCCGTCTGGTTACGAGCCTCACTGGGATCAGAATTCATTCGTTTCTTAAACAAATACTTCTTGATTGATTGCTTATTTTTTGCCAGAGACTGTTCTAGGTGCTGAGGATATGGCAGTGAACAAAACAGAAAAATTTATGCCTTTGAAGCTGGGCATGGGCTCGCGGTCTAGTTCCAACTACTCCAGCGGCTCAGGTGGGAGGATTGCTTGAACCCTGGAGTCCAGCCTGGTCAACATGGCGAGACCCTGACTCTTAAGGAAAAAAAATCTGTCTTGGAGCTTACGTTCTGGCAGGATGAGACAGGCAATAAAGATGATTAGTAACGATATTGTATTAGAAGGCAACAATTACGAGAAATAATAGAGCGTGGATGGGACAGGAGGCTTAGGAGGGTGGGAAGAGGACGTTATTCAGTGTGTTCTTGACCTCCTACCACGTAGCAAGTGCTGAGAATATTGTAGTGAACAAGTCATGCAGTCCCTGGCCTTAACTTATGTTCCGGTGGTAGAAATTAGATCATTTCAGACTAAGAGCCTTGGGGGTGGGGAGGGAGCAGGATGATGTAATAGGGAGAAAGCAGAGTGTAAGGAACTTGAGCTTTTAGAGTAGGAAGGCCCCAAGAGCCTTCTTCCCTAGCTCCCCTTCCCTTAAAAAACAACTACTGATGTGGAAACTGGGATCTATGGGAAGGTTATCTCTTAACTGGCGAGGAGCAAGGTCACGCAGTGAGTCAGCCTCTGCGCTCACCCTCCAGACTCTGATAAACAAATCTCAAGGATCTGTTGGGAACGGAAAGGCCATTTCAGAGGGGCAACAGACAGTGGAGAGGGGACAGGGAGCTTCTCCAACGCTGTCAGTTTGTGTGTCCGAGCTTTTTTTTGTTTTTGTTTTTGAGACAGAGTTGTACTCTGTCATCTAGGCTGGAGAGCAGTGGCGCGATCTGAGCTCACTGCAACCTCCGCCTCCCAGGTTCAAGTGATTCTCCTACCTCAGCCCCCGGAGTAGCTGGGATTACAGGCGCCCACCACCATGCCTGGCTAATTTTTATATTTTCAGAAGAGACAGGGTTTCACCATGTTACCTATGCTGGTCTCGAACTCCTGACCTCAAGTGATTCACCCGCCTCAGCCTCCCAAAGTGCTGGGATTGCAGGTGTGAGTCACCGTGCCCAGCCCCAAGGTCTTTCCTTGATGTTTAGTAGTAGTTACTGATGCAGGCCCCAGAACAAGACCCTGTGGGGTCCTATCCTGGCTCCATAACCTTCAAGTTATTCCTTTGGCTTCCACGTTCTCATCTGTGACATGGACGTATTAGTATCTTATTAGAGTTGTTGTGGGACTTAAATGAGACGCTGTGGGCTGGGCATGATGTCTCACATGTGTAATCCCAGCATTTTGGGAGGCTGAGGCAGGAGGACAATTTGAGACCAGCATGGTCAACATAGACCCTGTCTCTACAAAAACAAAGAAAGAAAGAAAAGCTGGGCACAGTGGCATGCATCTGTCATCCCAGCTACTTGGAAGGCTGAGGCAGGAGGATCACTTGAAACTGAGAGATCAAGGCTGCAGTGAGCCATGGTGTCACCACTGCACTGCAGCCTGGGCACCAAAATGAGGCCCTGCCTTAGTAATAACCTGATATTGTTTCCTCTTTGGTGTACTTCTGACATTTCAGGACTCTGCCCCGGAGGCCTTTTTCCCATCCTTGACTTCACCCCGGGCAGTTCTCTTTACCCTCCCAGGTTACTGGAGCCACGATGGTGTTCATCAGGTCTGGTCCCCTCAGTTCTGCAGAGCGACAGATGCCCCTTGCTCCCAGGGCCTGAGCAGAGAGATGATTCTTCTAAAAGAGTTCAGACTGCCCACGTGGAGCTAGCCAGGAGGGTTGAATGAGTGGCTGCGGATAGTATTGGGGAGACTGGCAGGTGGTTCTCGTTATATTTCTGGTTGATGATGCGTTGTAAATCAAAAATGGATCCTGCCAAGGCCAGGAGGCAGATGCCAAGGATGCAGCTATCAGCTGTTGGCAGAGGGGAAATTGGGGGGCAACTTCTTGGGGACCCAAGAAATGTTTCTGAAATTGTTAGCAAAGCTTGATTTACTCTTCAGTTTGTGCTTGACTGTCTGGCCAACTTGCTCTAGAAGGTCCTGTCCTCATTAGCGACTTCTGAGTATAATGAGGACATGCTGTTACCCAGGCTGGTCTGAAACTCCTGGGCTCAAGTGATCCTTGTGCCTCAGCGCCCCAAAGTGCTGGGATTACAGGCATGAGCCACCACACCTGGCCAGGCCATTACCTTTAATCAAGGTCTGTCCAGTGAATTAACGAAGACCTGAAAGAAATCAGGTGAGCTCCTTGCTGCTTCACATGCTTCCTAGAAGACATCATTAGCCCTGAACCTGCTGTTGAGAATGTGCTGTGATCCTAGGGTTCTTGATCATTAATTAACAGCATATGATGTGATAAGTAACTTTCAATGAAAATTGGAGGGGCCGGGCATGGTGGCTCATGGCGAAACTCCATCTCTACTAATAATACAAAAATTAGTGGGTGCAGTGGCATGCGCTTGTAATCCCAGCTACACAGTAGGATGAGTTGGGGGAATTGCTTGAACCCGGGAGGTCGAGGTTGCATTAAGCCGAGATTGCACCACTGCACTCCAGCATGGGCGGCAGAGTTAAACTTTCAAAAAAAAAAGGAAGTCATTAACCTCTGGAGTGGGCCACATTTGAATTACTTGTTTATTCTGACATTAATAAAAGCAGAATGGTTTTGATTTTCAAGACAGTTTGCCCCGGACATCCCTTTTGAAGCTGGATGTTAAATCAATTTCTGGGTTCTGACCATCCGTCTACTTTGAATTTCCTTTGGGAATGGAGGAAACCACTAAGAAAAATGCAGCTAGTTAATTCTGCCTCACTATTCGCCACCACAGCTTCCTAGCCTCCAGTCTTTTTTTTTCTTTTTTTTCTTTTTTGGTTTTGGCGTTCCCGAACCCTGTTGATTAGTATCCCGGATCCGATTAGCGTGTCCCCAGAGAATAATCTAGACAACGTTAGAGCTGCTGTCAAAAAATGTCAGCTAGAAAAGTTACCCTGGGCCGTGTGTGGTGGCTCACGCCTGTAATCCCAGCACTTTGGGAGGCTGAGGCAGGTCGGTCACCTGAGGTCAGGAGTTCGAGACCAGCCTGGCCAATATGGTGAAACCCTGTCGCTACTAAAAATACAAAAATTAGCTAGGTGTGGTGGTGCATGCCTGTAATCCCAGCTACTCAGGAGGCTGAGGCAGGAGAATCCCTTGAACCCAGTGGGGGCGGAGGTTGCAGTGAGCCGAGATGACGCCATTACATTCCAGCCAGGGCAACAGAATGAGACTCTGTCTCAAAGGAAAAAAAAAAAAGATCTACCCTGCATTTCACCTTGGGGTCATTGTCATGCTAGGTTAAAAATAAGAAGTTGGTTGAGCTGCTAAGAAGGAAAGTCCGTCTCGCCCAGCCTTATGTCGGTGTCTTTCTGAAGAGAGATGACAAGTAAGTGTAATTTTTTTTTCCTTCATTCCCTTGTTGACGTTGCCCTAGAGTCCAGCTCACCACAAGTCCTACTTTGTACTTTGCACTTTTGACTCTTGACCCCAAGGAAACCAGGGAAGACCTCCAGAGTAAAGACCAGGAGCCAGGCAGGCTGCCTTTTCAGCCCGGGCTAAGAACTCAGCTTGTAGCACTAAACTGCATGCACTGGTAAAATGTGGAGGAAATTAACTTCAGGGACCCTTGGTGATGAGATGCACCATGAGGCTGCCTGAAAGCCGAGCTAGCTGGTCGGAGATCATGGTTCCACCTAGAAATGAGTTCCATGGGCCAGGCGTGGTGTCGCACATCTGTAATCCCAGCACTTTGGGAGGCTGAGGCATGTGGATCACCTGAGGTCAGGAATTCCAAAGCAGTCTGACTGACATGGTGAAACCCCGTCTCTACTAAAAATACAAAAAATTAGCCAGACGTGGCGGCAGGCACCTGT